TCCGGGGCAGAGAGTTCCACTGCTGAACAGCTCTCACAGTCAGGAAGTTCTTCCTCATGTTCAGATGGAATCTCCTCTCTTGTAGTTTGAAGCCATTGCTCCATTGCGTCCTAGTTTCCAGGGAAGCAGAAAACAAGGTTGCTCCCTCCTCCCTGTGTCTTCCTCTCACATATTTATACATGGCCCTCATCATATCTCCTCTCAGCCTTCTCTTCTCCAGGCTAAACATGCCCAGATCCTTAAGCCGCTCCTCATAGGGCTTGTTCTCCAGACCCTTGATCTGCTCCCTCCTCCCTGTGGCTTCCTCTCACATATTTATACATGGCCCTCATCATATCTCCTCTCAGCCTTCTCTTCTTCAGGCTAAACATGCCCAGCTCCTTAAGCTGCTCCTCATAGGGCTTGTTGTCCAGACCCTTCATCATTTTAGTCACCCTCCTCTGGATACATTCCAGTTCAAAGCAGATAAAGTGGATTATCTGCTTGGATTGACCACAGGTTGGGAACCACTGATTTAGCATATCGCTGAATCTCATGAATCAATCAAACTCAAAATAGGATGCAGGCATAATTAAAAAATAGAGTTCACGATTAATACAAGGAGACAATGAAATGGTCCGAGAATTGTGTGCTCATCAAAGTTTGTTTTAATCTTCCATTTTGGAAATATCCCTGTGGAATGAACTCTAAGCTCAAACAAGCTCTTGGTAGACCTGGTTTTGGTAAAGGGCAGCCAAACAAACACTGTAAATACAACATAGCCGTAGAGTATATAGCATGTCCAGCTGCAGCAGATGGTCTTCTTTCCATATAGATATATATAGTGCCAACTGACTACACATTATAAACAGTACAGGTGTGCCTTGATAAGGACAGATTAACAGGGAATGGTTTATCAATGGATAAGTCACAGAAGTAGATAGAAATCTAGATATTATTCACGTCTACATGTCAAGAGCGCTCAAACATACAGAGGCATGCATTTGAAGACATAAACATGCTATCATAGTTGTGGAGTAGATTGTGTACAAGTAATTGCCGAAGATGGGACCTCCAAAAATGCAAGGTAGGAAGATGGAACAGCGGGAAACACCAGGGGAAATGCTTCCTTAAAGTAAAGTTCTCCACCTCCTTTAAGCTTATTTCATATCCCAGTATCATTCCAGTGTTTCAGCCAAGGTTGTGAAGCAACAACACAACAGATGGGGCACCGTTCAGCCATGCATTGCATTGTATGTGCTTCCTTTGAAAACGGGAGTTGAGCGGAAAGTGTAAGCTATGGATAATAGGCTTGACCTCTTTCGTGTGCCAGTTTTCAGTGGGGGTTCTTATCTGTTTTTTGGGAGCCTCCTGAAATCAGGAGAGCAAATATCTGTTTTTGCTCTAGGATGCCAAAAGAACCATTTTCTATCGGCCCATTATGGGGGGTAGGTGGGGCTTCCCAGGATCAGCGTCCCAACATTTTAGGACTGTTTCTACTCTAGAGGAGAGGCACTCGGCTGCAGGCAGGCATGCGCTTTAAGGAGGCTTGTTAGAGGAGAGGTGCAGGCACGTGCGTGCTTTAAGAAAGCTTATTACCTATTTTTACTCTAGAGAAGAGGTGTTCAGCTGCAGGCAAGTACATACTTTAAGGAGGCTTCTCATCTGTTTCTACTCTAGAGGAGAGGCACTCAGCTGCAGGCAAGTGCACGCTTTACGGAGGCTTCTCATCTGTTTCTGCTCTAGAGGAGAGGCACTCAGATGCACTCAGGTGCGCACTTTAAGGAGGTTTGTTACTTGCTTCTACTCTAGAGGAGAGGAACTCAGCTGCAGGCAGGTTCGCACTTTAAGGAAGCTTCTTACCTGTTTCTATTCTAGAGGAGAGGTGCTGAGCTGCTTGTTACCTATTTTTACTCTAGAGAAGAGACACTCAGCTGCAGGCAAGTGCATGCTTTAAGGAGGCTTCTCATTTGTTTCTGCTCTAGAGGAGAGGCACTCAGCTGTGCACTTTAAGAAGGTTTGTTACTTGTTTCTACTCTAGAGGAGAGGCACTCAGCTGCAGGCAGGTGCGCACTTTAAGGAAGCTTCTTGCCTGTTTCTACTCTAGAGGAGAGGTGCCCAGCTGCAGGCAAATGCATGCTTTATGGAGGCTTCTCATCTGTTTCTGCTCTAGAGGAGAGGTGCTCAGCTGCACTCAGGTGTGCACTTTGTTACCAGTTTCTACTCTAGAGGAGAGGCACTCAGCTGCAGACAAGAGGCTTCTTACCTGTTTCTATTCTAGAGGAGAGGTGCTCAGCTGCAGGCACGTGCATGCTTTAGGAAAGCTTGTTACCTATTTTTACTCTAGAGAAGAGGCACTCAGCTGCAGGCAAGTGCATGCTTTAAGGACTCTTCTCATCTGTTTCTGCTCTAGAGGAGAGGCACTCAGCTGCACTCAGGTGCGCACTTTAAGATTTGTTACTTGCTTCTACTCTAGAGGAGAGGTGCCCAGCTCAGGCAGGTGTGCACTTTAAGGGAGCTTCTTACCTGTTTCTACTCTAGAGGAGAGGCGCTCAGTGCAGGCAGGCACGTTCTTTAAGGAGGCTTGTTACCTGTTTCTGCTCTAGAGGAGAGGCACTCAGTTGCAGGCAGGTGTGCACTTTAAGGAAGCTTCTTACCTGTTTCTACTCTAGAGGAGAGATTCTCGGCTGCAGGGAGGCACCTGCACTTTCTCTCTTGGGCCTGCACACCACACACACTCTTTCCAAGCCAAGGAGGCCAGTACTCTATTCCTCTAGAGGAGAGACGCTTGACAGCAGGCAGGCGTGCACTTTCTTTCCTGGGCTGCACCACACCAGCAGCCATGCACACACTCATTTCAAGGCATTTTAAGGAGTCTTCCCACTTCCAGGTAAGGAAGAGTGATGACCTCCTGGAAGAGGAGAGTAGTTGTCAGAGGAAGAGTGTTTTTGTTTGTTGGGGGATTAATAAAAACAATTAAACTGTGATGCTGAAAAGCAGAGAAGGAGCCGAGATCGGTTCCTGCTTGCTTTCGTGTCGGGTGGGTTTTTGTCCCGGGAGGGCCCTTACCATTACTGGCTCCCGAAGTACTGAAAGAAACAGAGAAAACCAATTCCGCGCACAAGTCTAGTGATAAATGACTATTAGTTAGGCCTTCCAGATTGTTGGAGTTCAGCCTGTGATTGTATTTCAGGATCAGGGTGCTTTGGATGTGGGGAATGATGTAAATATAAGTTTCAAGATGGCAATGGTTTGGTCAGTGATATTAATGCAGAGAAGACAGAGAGGCACCTGGTCCAAGTGTAGTTTCCCATGAGAATGTCCCTATAGGGGTATAGGGATGATGGTTTACTCCCTGAATTGCTTCCAGAGAGTTCCCAGGATTTGGGGCTTGAAAGCAACTCGGCACCTGTGGAGACTAATGAGCTAAGAGATAGATGGGCGGAATTGAGTCAAAACAGACAGGCCGAGCAAGGCCTTCGCCGTTCTGCCAGGCTTTAGGAGAAAAAGATAAGGGCTGCTCAAGGAAAGCGAAAACATTTTCTGAGTGCTTGGGAAGGTTTAAAAGTCCCAAGCATGGAAAATATTACCAGATGAAGCATCGTTTAGAATCCTGCTGAGGTCTTGTCCTCGTCTCATAGAAGCCTTGCCTGGAAAATTCATGCTTAAAGATTTCTTGTTTCCTGTTTAGTTTTTTGTCTCTTGTGATTACCTGCTCAAGCTTTGGATCAACGTTTCCTGGTTCTTTGGATTTTGTTAGAGGCTTATGGACTTTGCTTTTGGATATTGCTGAGCAATACCTTGGACTAATTTGTTTCTGCTTATCTTTTACCCTAATTGGATTTACCTATTCCTTTAAAGTGCCTTTTTTACTTTGCTGCTTTTGCTTATCTATATAAATAAAATAAAATGTAATGTTCGTTTGTGGGATTAACAGAACTCATAAACCACTGGACAAATTGACACCAAATTTGGACACAAGACACCTAAGAATCCAATGTATGTACTTCACCAAATTTTGTCATTTGGGAGTTGTAGTTGCTGGGATTTATAGTTCACCTACAATCAATGGGCATTCTGAACTCCACCAACGATGGAATTGAACCAGACTTGGCACACGGTTCTCCCATGACGAACAGAAAATACTAGAAGGGTTTGGTGGGCAGTGCCCTTTGGTTTTGGAGTTGTAGTTCACCCACATCCAGAGATCACTGTGGACTCAAACAATGATGGATCTGGACCAAATTTGGCACAAATACCCAATATGCTCAAATGTGAATACTGGTGGAGTTTGGGAAAAATACAATCTTGACATTCGGGAGTTGTAGATTCTGGGATTTATAGTTCACCTACAATCACAGAGCATTCTGAACACCACCAACGATGGAATTGAACCAAACTTGGCACACGGTTCTCCCACGACCCACAGAAAATACTGGAAGGGTTTGGTGGGCAGTGTCCTTGGTTTTGAAGTTGTAGTTCACCTACATCCAGAGATCACTGTGGACTCAAACAATGATGGATCTGGACCAAACTCTACACAAATATTCAATATGCCCAAATGTGAAAACTGGTGGAGTTTGGGGAAAATAGAATCTTGACATTTGGGAGTTGTAGTTGCTGGGATTTATAGTTCATCTACAACCACAGAGCATTCTGAACTCCATCAATGATAAGATTAGGCCAAACCTCCGACACAGAACTCCCATGAGGACCACAGCAACGCGTGGCAGGGGACGGCTAGTTTTCAATAAAAGGATTGTTTTCCCCTACTCAACGTGTGGTGTTTTCAAGTCAGAGGGTTATTCCTGTTCTGGAGTGCAACACAGATATTATCTCACTCTCTTCACCATTGACTACGTTGGCTAAGACTGGTCCTTCCATCATTGTCCCCAATGTAGCTCACAATGAAAATCAGATGGGCCTGACTATCTTTACCACACTCGTCTTAGTCTGTAAGATAAACAAATGGACAGAAATTCTGTTAAAAACTCAAAGTTTGGAAAGGCCGATTTTACAGATTTTACTTCCTGGAGTATAGTCAAGATATGAAATTTTAGAACTTTCCAAACCACTGAAAGTTACAGTCTCGCCCAGGTTCTCATTCTTTGACACACCCCCAACTGGGTGTTGGTTCAAAAAGACGACAACCTCTTTCTGAGCTCAGTCTCAGCCAGGTCCAGGCTTCACATTGTCCAAATCTGAACGTTCAGTTGCTGAGAATCCAAGAGGTGGTGGTTCTTGTGGTCTTGCATGTGATACGGAGACCTTAGGACGGGCAGGGGATCCGGAGAGGAGAGAATGTAATCAATGCTAAATTTAATTTCGGAGTCAGATTTTCCTACCGAAGCGCTGTTTAGAGTCTCCTGTCCGGCAACGGCGTTTGGGAAGAACTCGTGAGACTCCAAAGCTTTCAGCGGAGACTCCGTGTCCTCGCCCGGAGAGGAGATATTAGGGAAGGCAGTATCCATGGGGAACAACGCAGGCAACGCGGGTAAGCAACCCATTTTGTTACTTGACCTCTTCTCTCTAGGCTCCCTTTTGACATTCCTCCGCCTCCTCCGCCTCCGGTAATTCCCGTTTTCAAAAAGGTCCAGCATGGATTCGCATCCTGACGCAAAGCTCCAGTAGTTTCCTTTCCCCTTGTCATTGCCTTCTGTTCGGGGAACCTGCACGTCATGGAAAAAGACAGAAGTCAGTCAATGAGCTACTCGATCTCTTTTAAAACAGGGATGGACAACATGGAGACTTCCAAGTGGGGATACATTATTCCCAACAGACTTAGAGTGAAGTCAAACATGACCCCCCCCCCCCCCCCCCCCAATAAAAGACAGTAACATAGTTTTGCTAAGGACAAGGACACCAGACTGGATAAAAAGGGTTAAGCCTTGGTTAATTTGCCAAGACACTAACAACAACAAGGACCCTTCCCATGTTAGATAGTGTGTACATTTAATCAAGGTTTTATGCCCTAGGTTTCATATATAGCAGAAGGTAGCACATGTATTACTGAGAAACCACCTCCCTTTACACTTATGCGCTCTCTTGAACTTCTATGGGACTTTGGTGGGAGGGATAAGTGGGTTCTATATTTATCGTGTCATCAGCAACCAGACCATTGTGCTACATTTCTAACAGAACAAAACAAACAAACAGATTTAAAAAACCCACAAATTTTGCAAACTTGGTAGTTGATTAAATGTCCCTTGACCAGTATCTGGCCCCTTGGAGTGCCTCTGGTGTTGCCGCAAGAAGGTCCTCCCTTGTGCATGTGGCAGGGCTCAGGGTGCATTGCAGCAGATGGTCAGTGGTTGGCTCTTCTCCGCATTTGCATGTGGCCCCATTTGTGGCCCCATTTCTCAAGGTTGACTCTGCATCTCATGGTGCCCGAGCGCAGTCTGTTCAGCACCTTCCAAGTTGCCCCGTCTTCTGTGTGCCCAGGAGGGAGTCTCTCATCTGGTATCAGCCATTGGTTGAGGTTCTGGGTTTGAGCCTGCCACTTTTGGACTCTTGCTTGCTGATGTGTTTCAGCGAGTGTCTCTGTAGATCTAAGAAAACTATATCTTGATTTAAGTCATTGACATGCTGGCTGATACCCAAACAAGGGATGAGCTGGAGATGTCTCTGCCTTGGTCCTTTCACTATTGGCTGCTACTTCCCGGCGGATGTCAGGTGGTGCAGTGTAATTTCTCCAGTGGTGTAGGGCGCAGACACCCCGTGATAATGCGGCATGTCTCATTAAGAGCCACATCCACTGTTTTAGTGTGGTGAGATGTGTTCCACACTGGGCATGCATACTCAGCAGCAGAGTAGCATAGCGCAAGGGGAAATGTCTTCACTGTGTCTGGTTGTGATCCCCAGGTTGTGCCAGTCAGCTTTCGTATGATATTGTTTCTAGCACCCACTTTTTGCTTGATGTTCAGGCAGTGCTTCTTGTAGGTCAGAGCACGGTCCAGAGTGACTCCCAGGGATTTGGGTGCGCTGCAATGCTCCAGTGGGATTCCTTCCCAGGTAATCCTCAGAGCTTGGGAGGCTTGTCTGTTCTTAAGGTGAAAGGCACATGTCTGTGTTTTGGATGGATTAGGGATCAGTTGGTTTTCCCTGTAATAGGCAGTAAGAGCACCTAGAGCTTCGGAGAGCTTTTGTTCAACCATCTCAAAGCTCCCTGCTTGAGCGGTGATGGCACAATCATCAGCATAGATGAAGCTCTCTGTCCCTTCTGACAGTGGCTGGTCATTTGTGTAGATGTTGAACATGGATGGAGCAAGGATGCTCCCCTGAGGCAGGCCGTTCTTCTGTTTCCGCCATCTGCTTCTCTGGCCCTGGAACTCAACAAAAAAGCTCCTGTTTTGTAGCAGGTTTCCTTTGAGGCGAGTGAGGTGGTAGGTCTTTGTGATATTATACATTTTTCTCAGGAGGAGGCGGTGGTTCACAGTCTCATAAGCCGCTGACAGGTCTATGACAGGTTATATTTTCTATAACATGATTTCTATATTTCTATATTCCTCCCTGTGTATCTGACCTTTTTCTGACCCTTTTTGCCCCATTCCCCTTTGGAAAAAATGTATAAAAAAATATAAAGAAGCCACCCTGACCCTGGAAAGAAAGAAATTAATCTTTATCAAAAGACACTCTTTGCATGGACTATAACAAAGGATCGAGACCTCTGGCGTCTGAGGTTTTGGCCACCAGAGGACACGGCCACTTGGCAATTTTGATTATATCACAATGGGACAGAGCGGAGCCTTCGGAAAGCTGCACCTCACCCTGATCTGTCAACCATTCAGTCCTCTACCAAAACATCCACTCAAAGTTTCCCCCCAATGTTCCTCTGTCTTGGCATGGAAGAAAATCCGGATTATGGCAGTATCGCCAACATCAATGTTTATTAGAACCACTCAAAGAACAATAGAAGGCTAGCTCGTAGGCCTTTAGGACTCGCCGGCCCCTTGGACATTTCCTGAATTTCCATAATCCACTCAAGAATGCATTGTATTCCCTTGTTCCGCCTCCCTCTCTCCTGATTCGCAGAAGCGCTGAGGCAGCCGAAGCCCTGTGATTGGCCCAGGCGCTCGAGAGGCGGCCGAGCCTCCTCCCAGCTGTTGAAGCACCAGCCAATCACCTTCAAGCCAGGCGGAGGGCGGGGAATGGGAGATTCAAACCAGACAACTCTGTTTTTCTATAAAAATTGCTTTTATTTATACTCATGCATGCTTAGCTTGGCAAAATATTGCTGCTTTGCATCCTTTTCAGCTGAATCATCTCAGTAGTGCTTCCTTCAAGTTTGGTGAGATTTCTTTGGGGAACTTAGGATTGTTTTAAATCAGTTTGGTGGCCGATGTTTTCGGCCCATTTAACCATACATTCTTTTATTGGTTCTTTTTCTGTTGTCCACTCTAACTTTTTTTTTGTATATTTTAGTACCATATATTCTGGCGTATAAGACTACTTTTTAACCCAAGGAAATCTTCTCAAAAGTCGGGTAGTTTTATACGCGGGAGTAGTCTTATACATGGGAGTAGTCTTACACATGGGAGTAGTCTTATGCATGGGAGTAGTCTTATACACGGGGGTAGTCTTATACACGGGAGTAGTCTTACACATGGGAGTAGTCTTATGCACGGGAGTCGACTTATACATGGGAGTAGTCTTATACACGGGAGTAGTCTTACACATGGGAGTAGTCTTATACACGGGAGTAGTCTTATACACGGGAGTAGTCTTACACTTGGGAGTAGTCTTATACATGGGAGTAGTCTTATACACGGGAGTAGTCTTACACATGGGAGTAGTCTTACGCATGGGAGTCGACTTATACATGGGAGTAGTCTTACACTTGGGAGTAGTCTTATACACGGGAGTAGTCTTGTACATGGGAGTAGTCTTACACATGGGAGTAGTCTTACGCACAGGAGTCAACTTATACACGGGAGTAGTCTTATACATGGGAGTAGTCTTACACATGGGAGTAGTCTTACACATGGGAGTAGTCTTACGCACGGGAGTCGACTTATACAGGGGAGTAGTCTTATACATGGGAGTAGTCTTATACATGGGAGTAGTCTTATGCACGGAAGTAGTCTTATACACGGGAGTAGTCTTATACACGGGAGTAGTCTTACACATGGGAGTAGTCTTATACATGGGAGTAGTCTTATGCACGGAAGTAGTCTTATACACGGGAGTAGTCTTATAGAACGGGTGCTGAAACTTCCAATTGGATTGTAGAATCTATGGCTCTTGCATATGGTGGGGGAACCTCAAAAATGTCATTGGCCGTGTCCCTGCCGTATGCAGAAACTGTATGAAAGCATTAAGGGCGATGCTGCACAAGTACGGTAGAAGAAAATCCATTCATCAGGATTCGTGGACTTAATGTGGTCCCGATGGTGAGGTGAAGGGCGCCTCACCGGGAAGGTGTAAGTGAACGGCGGAGCAAGCTGCAGGCGTGCAGGGCACCTGGGCTATGGAAAAAAGAGATAAAGTAGTTCTGGGCCCAGAAGAACACACCTCTTTTACCTGTCTGGCCCGCCCTTGCATCCTATTACCGTACCTCCTTCTCTGCTTCTCAGATCTCACTTCTGAAGACTGCAGTGAAGTGGTGCGAGAACTGAGAGGCAGAGAAGGAGGGACAGTAATAGGAAAACTACCATATTGAAATCAAATCTGATGCTTTTTTTTTTTTTTAAAAAAAGGGTGTGCATTGGAAGAGGGGTAGACTTGTATGGCGAATATATCCCAAACTCTATATTTTAACTGGAAAGGTTGGGGGTCGTCTTATACGCCCAGTCGCCTTATATGCCGGAATATACGGTAATCAGTTTTCTGGAGCCCCCAGTGGTGCAGTGGGTTAAAGCCCTGTGCCGGCAGGACTGAAGACCGACAGGTCGCAGGTTCGAATCCGGGGAGAGGCGGATGAGCTCCCTCTACCAGCTCCAGCTCCTCATGCAGGAACATGAGAGAAGCCTCCCACAAGGATGATAAAAAACATCAAATCATCCGGGCGTCCCCTGGGCAACGTCCTTGTTGTTGTTGTTCATTCGTTCAGTCATCTCCGACTCTTCGTGACCTCATGGACCATCCCACGCCAGAGCTCCCTGTCGGCCGTCACCACCCCCAGCTCCTTCAAGGTCAGTCCAGTCCCTTCAAGGATGCCATCCATCCATCTTGCCCTTGGTCGGCCCCTATTCCTTTTGCCTTCCACTTTCCCCAGCATCATTGTCTTCTCTAGGCTTTGCTGTCTCCTCATGATGTGTCTTCTCTAGGCTTTGTTGTCTCCTCATGACGTCCTTGCAGATGGCCAATTCTCTTACACCAGAAGCGACTTGCAGTTTCTCAGGTCACTCCTGACACGACAAAAAATAAAATCTATGATTCTAAGAACTTCCTGATTGTGACAGCTGTTCAGCAGTGGAACTCTCTGCCCCAGAGTGTGGTGGAGGCTCCTTGCAGTTCCTCAAGTCTCTCCTGACATGACAAAAAAAGTTTATTTTCTGTCTTCATTATCTTATCCCAGAAACCGTTCTTATCTGCAAAGCCTAACTCTTCATCTTTCTCGACACACAACAACATTGAGTAACCCTGTAGCGAAGAATTCCGAAATGACAAAAATCTTTCCAGTTTGGAACGTATTACTAAAACGGAAAGAAAGTGGCCCGGTCCTGTTCAA